TTTATCGCGGTTAGTTAGTAAACAAATTTCAAAAGACGGTCACATCATGTACATTTGTGAAGCATGTCTACTTCGTTTTCCATCTCAGGAAAGGTTAAATAACCATGAACAATACGATTGTGCTCACATTTGTACAGTATTACCAAACAGTGAAACTTTAAAAAAAAAGAATTGGTTTGGTCAACCTATTTCAAATGATAAAATTAAATTTGATAGTTATGAAAAAAAGTTAAAGATACCATTCGTAGTTTATGCTGATTTTGAAGCATTTTTAAAACCAATAGAATCATGTTCTAACGATCCTTCCAAACCTTTCACTCATAATATTCAGAAACATGAAGTACATAGTTTTGGATATTATATAAAATGTTCATATGATGATAAATTATCAAAATATGTAACATATTGCGGACCCAACTGTGCACAAGTGTTTATGGAAAGTTTATCTAACAATCTAAAAGAAATAAATAGACTTCAAAAATATCCACCACTTCCGCTAACAAATGAAGACAAAAACCAAATTTCAAATGCAACCATTTGTCATATTTGTGAAACTGAGTTGGCAAAACATTTTTATGATTTTGATTGGTACACTGGTAGTTTTATAGGTGTTGCTCATGAATCATGTTGTTCGAAGATCAGAACACCTAGTTATATACCAATATTTTTACACAACCTTAGTCACTATGATGCTCATTTTATTGTTCACGCGTTAAACTTTTGTGATGGTGAAGTCGAAGTTATCCCTCAAAATAAAGAAAAATATATATCCTTTTCCAAAAAATTAAAAGTGAATAACCACGAAATTATATTGAGATTCTTAGATTCATTTAAGTTTTTATCGTGTAAATTAGAAGAATTGGCCAAAAATCTCAGTAATGATCAATTTCAAGAATTACGTAGAAATTACCCTAATGATGAAAATTTCTTTCGTTTAAAACGGAAAGGTGTTTATCCATATGAACTTATGACTAATTATGATAGTTTAAGTCTAACATCGCTCCCTGAACAAAAATGTTTTTATAGTTCACTCACAGATTCACATATTTCAAATGATGATTACAATCATGCTAAAGATGTTTGGGAACATTTTGGGTGTTGTAATATGCTAGATTATTCAAACCTATATTTAAAAACAGACGTTTTACTTTTATCCGATGTATTTGAAAACTTTAGAAAGTTATGTATTAATACATATGATTTAGACCCTGTCCATTATTACACAGCACCCGGTTTAAGTTGGGATGCAATGTTAAAATATACAAAAATAGAATTAGAACTTTTAACAGATTATGAGAAAATTGCATTTATTAGATCAGGTATCAGAGGTGGTGTATCTCAATGTAGTAATCGTTATGCTAGAGCTAATAACAAATACATGGAGGATTATGATACAGGGAAACCAAATTCATATATCACATATTTTGATGCCAACAATTTATATGGTTGGGCTATGTCTCAATATCTTCCTACTGGTGGATTCGAATGGGTAAATCCAAATACAGAATTTAATGTGTCTAAGACATCAGACTTCGGTTTTATTTTAGAAGTTGATTTGGAATATCCAGATGAACTTCATGATTTACATTCGGACTTTCCTTTATGTCCAGAAAACATTTGTGTAGGCAATATTAATGAGAATAAACTAGTCCCAAATTTAAATAATAAAGATAAATATGTAATTCATTACAGAAATTTAAAGCAGTGCATAGAAATGGGGGTTAAATTAACTAAAATTCATAGAGTTTTAAAATTTAAACAGTCTCCCTGGTTGAAGATGTACATAGATCTAAACACAAAATTAAGAACTTTAGCAAAATCAGATTTCGAAAAAGATTTTTATAAATTAATGAATAATTCAGTCTTCGGTAAGACTATGGAGAATATTGAAAAAAGGGTTAACATAAAATTAGTTACGCACTGGGAGAACCAGGGTAAAGCTTTAGGTGCTCAAGATCTAATCGCTAAACCACAATTTCATAGCCTTTCAATATTTTCGGAAAACCTAGTTGCGGTTCAGTTGCGAAAAACGAAGTTAATATATAACAAACCAATTTATTTAGGGTTTTGCATTTTAGATATTTCAAAAACATTAATGTATGATTTTCATTATAACTATATGATTAAAAAGTTTAGTAAAATCAAATTATTGTATACAGATACGGATAGTTTAATATATCATATATTTACAAATGATTTTTACACTGATATAAAACCTGACCTTTCATCATACTTTGATACCTCAGATTATGATACAAATAATATTTTTGAATATCCAAAATTAAATAAAAAGAAATTAGGTTTTTTTAAAGATGAAAATAATGGTAAAGTCATGAAAGAATTTGTGGGTTTACGATCCAAAATGTACGCTTTTAACTTAGAGAATAAGACTATAGCCAAGGCAAAAGGGGTAAATAAATGTATCACTAAAAAGATGACAATGAATAGTTATAAGTCTTCTCTATTTAATAAAAAAGTGCAATATTATAGTATGCTTAGATTTAAATCAATTAAACACACAATTTTCACACAAAAATTAAATAAGATAGGTTTATCATATAATGACACAAAGAGACATATTTTAGATAATAATATTGAAACATTAGCTTGGGGTCATTATAAACTGCGTTAAGTGTTGATAGTTTTTACTTTATATGTCTGCGTTTAAGAAAAATTTATATTTATTGTAAAATTATGATAATACTATAATATGACGTAGTTTATTACATATTTAAACATTGTTTTATTGTAAATAATTTAAGTTAATTGTTGTTTCTATTTATTTGAGGTTGAGTTAATTGTAAAATTATGATGTACTAATTGTTGTTTCTATTTATTTGAGGTTGAGTTAATTGTAAAATTATGATGTACTAATTGTGTTAGAAATAGTATACAGATAATTCTGTTTTATATAATTTTTGGAATATATATTAATTGTTTACACCAACACTTTCATTTTTTATTTCACCCCTTTGAACTTTAGACGTGTGTTATGTTTCACTTTATCCATCCGTTCACTGCTATTGTGGCAGGACCAAGTGGGTGTGGGAAGTCAAATTTTGTAACAAATTTCATAAAATCAGTTACAGAAATATGTAATTGTGATTTTAATCAGATCACATGGTGCTTTGATGAAATGCAACCATTATATAATTTACCAAATGTTAACTATCATCAAGGAATTCCAAATCTTAATATGTTTGATGGTGAAAACCCACATCTTGTTATTATTGATGATCTAATGAGAGAGTCCGATGGAAGAATTGTGGATATATTTACAAAAGGTAGTCATCACAGGAATCTTAGTGTATTTTATCTAACACAAAATTTATTTCATCAGGGTAAAGGACAAAGAGACATATCTTTAAACTCAAGTTATATAATATATTTTAAAAACCCTCGAGATAAAACTCAAATAAGATATTTAGCAAGACAAGTATCACCAGATAACCCAAAATTCATTGAAAATGCCTACAGGGATGCAACTCTAGAGGCACATGGATATTTAATGGTAGATTTAAAACAGAATACCAATGATTTTTGTCGTATCAAGACAAATGTCTTTCCATTTAATGGTTTCTGTACAGTCTACGTCCCCACAAAAGAGTTTAAATACACCAAGAATCAAACAATTGAAATCATTGCTAAATGATGCATCGTCGACTCACAACGTATAAACATTTGCTAACCGCTTTGCATACGCTTAAACCAAAATATCAAAGAGCATTACTTAAAACGTGTGATGAAGAAGAAATTAACTGTATTTGTGAGTGTATTCATAACGTTTTACAAGGAAAAGTACCTCTTAAAGATCAGGATAAACAAAAATTGAATAAACATAAAAACATACTCCGTAAACTAGTACGTAAGTGTAAACATAAACTAAGAAAAAATATAATTATACAAAAAGGAGGGGCTTTCTTACCAACAATATTAGGTGCAATATTGAGTGGATTAGTGAGTGGACTAGCCAGTTAACATGGAAAATGCAAAGAAAATGATACTTATCGAACCTGGATTGATTGAAAAATTAAAACAAGAAAATAAGGTTAATAGTAATTTATCTCGATTAGATATTGAAATGCAAAATATTATGAATAGTAAGACGGAAGACCGAAAGAAATGGATATTATATTTACAAACACTGCAAAGATACCTTCATTTTACCGAAGAGGATCGTCAACCACTCAAATTACCAATTTATTCTGATACATCTAATGAAGATTCAAATGAGTCAAAATTGGTTTTAAAAATAAAGATAGAGATCTAAAAACTTCAGTTGATATTGAATCTTTGCTGGAGGAGAATCGATCCATTAAAAGTAAAGAAAATGATGAAAATCCACTTTACACACCAGCTCAAATACTCAGTTTAATACCAAAAACTTATCATAAAAAAGGGCAGTTATTATTAAACTTAGTTGAAACAAGTAAAAGTAAAATACATTGGGATAACGAAGGTACAGTCATAATTGATAGTGAAAAAATTCCTGAAAGTAATATTGTTGATTTAATAAATGATTCACTAAGACCCCTAAAAAGAAGCGATCCGGTAGGGTGGGTTAGATTTGCTGAAGCATTAAAAGATATTAAAGTACCACTTACTTATATTGGAAATCCAAGGAGATGTGAGTTTATTAACCAACTTCAAGCAAAAGATCTGAACAAACCCTCTGAGATTGAAGTTCAAGAGTTTTCTACACCGTGCAGTAGAGATAAAAAGTCTACAACTAAAATACGTAAAGGACTTGAGTGGGAAAAATGGACTCCGTACTAGAAGAAATTAACAGGATTTATTATGATCCATCTAATCCCGCTGGTTTTGGTAGTATTGATAAATTATCAAAAGCCATGAAGGGTAAAATGAATAAAAAGCAAGTAAAGGAATGGTTAAAATCACAAGAAACATACACATTACATAAACCCATTCGAAAAAAATTCCCGCGTAATAGGTACATTCTATCAAATATTAATGAACTGTGGCAAGCTGATTTAAGTGATATGCGAACTTATTCTCAATATAATGATGGTTTCAAGTATTTACTTTGTATTATTGATGTATTTAGTAAATATGCTTTTGCAAGACCAATGAAAAAGAAAAACTCAGAAACAACTAAAGAATGTTTTGAAAGTATATTTACTGAAAGTAATTTAACACCTACTCACATACAATCCGATAAAGGTACCGAATTTGTTTCAAAAGATGTACAAAAATACTTTAAATCCAAAAAGATTAATTACTATACCACTAACAATCCTGACATTAAGGCCAGTATTGTTGAACGATTTCAAAGAACACTAAAAATGAAAATGTGGCGTTATTTCACTCATAATAATACTTATAGATATATAGATGTTTTACAAGATTTAATATACTCTTATAATCACAGCTTTCACTCTAGTATTAAGATGTGCCCGTGTGATGTAAATTCCAACAATATTATGACAGTTTGGACTAATCTTTATGATAGACGGTCAAAAAAACTTTCTTTAGAAAATCCTAAACCAAATTTCAATGTGGGTGATTATGTTCGAATAACTAAATATAAACATGTATTCCAAAAAGGATATGAATCAAATTGGAGTGATGAAATATTTATTATATCTTCAATAATTGATAGATCTCCATGGGTTGTTTATACAATAACAGATTTACAAAATGAACCAATAATTGGTACTTTTTATGAAAGAGAATTACAGAAAATCACTTACAACCCCACCTCACAACATAAAATAGATAAAATAATTGACACTCGTTATTCAGGTAACAGAAAAGAAGTATTAGTGAAGTGGAAAGGTTATCCAGATAAATTTAACAGTTGGATTTTAGCTTCTAGTTTAAAAGAAATATGAATAAGGAAAGTTTCTATTTAACTTTGCTCAGCAATAGTTCAATGGAATACTTTCCTGATAACAAGACCACAAATTTTTCAACGAAATTACCAAAAGCTATAAAATTAGAAGGTGAATGGTCGGTTGGAGTTGTCGAATTTCAATATCCATGTACCATGTTTACTGTTCAAGACCATGAAAATGTTATATACATTACAAAATCTATGTTAATGCCTAATGAAGATAAGCCATCCACAGTGTACTACAAAAAACATATTCCAGCTACCAACTATGATAACGTTGAGCATATTTTAAGAGTGTTAAATGGTATCGGAGAGAACTTGAAATTTCGCTATGATGAAATAACAAAATTTGTGTCTATTTCGGTATTGGATAAAAATATAACATCCGTAACATTATCACCCAAATTAAGTTTACAGCTAGGTTATGAACCAAATAAAAATCTCCTAGAGAGAAATTTTGGAAAGTGTCCTGCTAATTTACACTTAGGGTTACCATCTCAACTATTTCTATATTGCGATATTATCGATCCTCAGATTGTGGGTGATGTTATGACTCCTTTATTAAGAGTCATTTCATTAGATCCTACAAAATACATTTATGGTGCAAATAAAATGCACGTTTTCTCTCAACCTCACTACTTACCTGTTATGCGAAGAGAGTTCGATACGTTGGAAATAGTTATAAGATCGAGTACAGGACAAAAAATACCATTCCAGTTTGGAACCGTGTGTATTAAACTACATTTCCGAAAATTATAATAATGAATTCTCTTCGTGATCATCATAAATGTCCATATGAAAATTATTATACACATCAAGCTGGATCAGGAGTTGGAGTAATTTATAAGGGTTCACCATATCAACGCGGTCATGGTATTGGGAGCTTCTTAGGGGGGTTATTCAGATCAGTTTTACCTTTACTTTCAAGTGGTGCTCGAGTGATTGGTAAGGAGGCATTAAGCGCTGGAGTAGGACTTTTATCGGATATGGTTCAAGCCCGTCCTATGGAAGCCTCAATAAAAGATCGTCTAAAGCAAGTTAGTACGAATTTAAAACGAAAGGCTGATGAGAAAATTGATCAATTTAACATGACTGGATCTGGGTATAAAACTAAAAGAAAACGATTGACATCGTTCATTCCACCATTAACTGCTAAAGTGAAAGCTGCGAAAAAACTTTGTCTAAAACCAAAAAATATCAAAGATATATTTTCAAACTAAATATGTCTTTCCTTAATCATTCTTGTGAGTGCGTTAAGTCAGAATTGGATTTGTTTGCACTACCGTCTACACAAACTAGCATTGAAAATGGATTGTGGATTCATTATAAACCAATTTCATCTCTTGGTGATGATGGACCTATCGAGTTTCAAGTTCCTGGGACCGGCGATGACTACATAGATTTGTCTCATACATTACTCCACATAAAGGCAAAAGTATTAAATCAAGATTCAACTAACTTGGTATCTACTACAATAGTAGCACCTGTAAATAATTGGCTGCATTCACTTTTTAGTCAACTTGATGTTTATTTAAACCAAAAACTTGTATCACCACCTAATAATACCTATGCATATCGAGCATACATGGAAACCCTTTTAAACTATGCCCCTGCTGCTAAACAATCTCATCTTACTTGTAGTCTTTGGTATGAGGATACAGCAGGAAAAATGGATTCTACAGATGGTAAAAACATAGGATTTGTTAAAAGACAGGAATTGATTAGTGAAAGTAAGGAAATAGAAATGATTGGTCATCTTCACGGTGACATTTTTAACCAAGATAAATTTTTAATTAATGGTGTTGAAATGAGTGTTAAATTGGTTCGATCAAGAGAGAGTTTTAATTTAATTGTTGGGTCAAACGATGTAAAGTTTAAAGTTTGCATTACGGACGCAACTCTTATTGTTCGACGAGCACGAATTAATCCAAGTGTATTACTCGCACATCAAAAAGTTTTAGCTTCTACCACTGCTAAATATCCTATTACTCGAGCTGAAGTAAAAGTTTTAACAATTCCTTCGGGTGTTCAAGGAAAAACTCTTGATAATATATTTTTAGGACAGGTACCGAAAAGATGTATAATTGGATTTGTGAACAATTCTGCATTTAATGGTTCCCTTACTAAAAATCCATTTAACTTTGAAAACTATGGTATTACTTCTTTCAGCTTATATATTGATGGTCAACAAATACCTTCAAAAGCTTTGCAACCATCTTTTAATAATAGCATATTTACATCAGCATATCATACTCTATTCTCGGGAACTGGTATTCACTTTCTTAATGAAGGAAATGGAATCTCTTGTGAACAGTATGGCAAAGGTTACTGTCTATTAGCATTTGACTTAACTCCTGATTTATCAGCTAACTCATCAACTCATTGAAATCTCATAAAGCATGGTAGTGTAAGAATAGAAGTACGATTTGAATCCTCATTAATACAAACAATTAACTGTATAGTTTATGCTGAGTTTGATAATATTATTGAGATAGATAAAAACAGAAATGTTACTGTAGACTATAGTAGTTAAGGTTATAATATGTGTTGTGTGTTAGATTTTATGTGTTATGTGTAATGCATTTTGTGTGTATGTAACTATGTGAAACGTTATAAAATTAAATAAAACAAATTGTATGCAATATATTTTTTTTATTTCTTTATAAATCTTCTATTTAATCTAATACAAAACACTGTTCGAGTTGAAATTTTACATAAGCACACTGACTAAACCACTGAACATGCTGCTGCCAAGGATCATCATCATCTTCCCAATCTTTTAAACCACCACCACAATGGAAACACTTGGTCCCGTCTGCATGGCCAGTATAAAAGAAACCAGCTTCGGCAAGATCTTCAGGTTTCTGTCGCATAACTAGAGGCCAGTTTTCGAAACTAAGCAAACGGTTAGATTTTGAACTGAAGAATGGATATTCTGCTCTTGAGTACTGCATACTCTTCTCGTTTTCTTCTCCACTCAGTGTTGTAGTTTTGTTATTCAATGATGTGTTTTGTACACGTATGCCACACTCATCTCTTCCTTCCGCTCTTGTCTTCCTGTAATTGAAGTAAACAGAATCACATTCACTAATGATCAGCTAATGACTGTCATTGTTAAAAAAGTATTTTTTAACTTTTTCACTTTCTGCTATTGTCTTTGTTATATTGTATACGAGGGCGTTTGTATTGTCGTAGATGCTATCCTTATTAGTCTTTACGTAATATTTAATTCTCGTGGAAGCATGTTTCCAATGATCAGTAGTTGGAATCTTGGATAGCTTCTTCATATCGTACATTTCAATTTTGATGAGATGCGTCGCTTGGTCTCCGTCGTCAGAATTAGTAGAAATGTATGATACACCATCTCTAGCGGCTCGTGCTACGGTTGATGATAACAGCTTCCTCTTTTTTATTTTTGATTCAGCTTCAAAAAAATGATCAATCGATTGCGATTTTCTTTTTCCACCATCGCATGTGTTATTATTAATGACGAGGTTATCACTCTCTTCTTGAGGGGAGAGTGGCGAGTAGTAATACTGTTTATAGGTATCTTCATCGAAGCTCAATGATTTCTGCAACAACACAGTTATCATGTTAATATCAATTTGTTAACACTTAATCATAAAAGTTAAAAAAGTTAAAGTTACAGCCTATTAAAGTCCACTGCTGAACATAGGCCTCCTCTCATTTCTGAGAGGGTTTTAGAGCAAGGAAATGTCCGCCGCGCTCCCTCAATGTGTGTTGGCGAACTTCACATGCCTTCGAAATTTTCTCAGACATGCAGGTTTCCTCACGATGTTTTCCTTCACCACCAAGCACGTGGTAATAAGCACTTAAAATTGCTATTAACAATTTAATTGGTGCTGGCGGGGATCGAACCCGGGTCGCGTACTGTGAAATTTACAGCTAGCGCTAACCATCTGAGTTACCACGGCTTAATCATATACATACACAATATTTAAATAAAATAATACACACACATGAAAATAACAGAAAAAAAGTAATTTAGTCAATAGAATAAACACTTACATCCATAGCCTTTGGTGTATTGAAGTAACACAAATGTACTATTGATAGATCCACTGTAGCCAAACGACCGTACACTAACTCGATGACTGCGTTTGTTGGTCTTATATACCACCAGTACGTAAAAATTCTAATCTAAAGTATTTCCGTAATGAGTTGATAATTACTTTATGCGTCAACCAGTTTATCTCACATTTCCGTTGCCTATCTCAACATTTCTTCGTATTGTGTTTTGTTTGGTGATCAATGACTCAAGTACGATTTGTATAACACAAAAATGCAATTTAATATTTAGAAACATATCAGTTTATCTCACATTTCCGTTGCCTATCTCAACATTTCTTCGTATTGTGTTTTGTTTGGTGATCAATGACTCAAGTACGATTTGTATATCACAAAAATGCAATTTAATATGTAGAAATCACTATAATTGACCATTCCTATGTTATTCATTGAGTAGCTAGGTACTGTAATAATCTACTAATAGCAGTAATATCATGGATACACTAGATGTACAACAACATCTGAAAAAGATTCACCCCAGTCTAGAAAATAATGTTTATGCAGCTAATAGACTGCCTATGTATACCCACGTACCAACGTATATAATATGTAATTTGGATACAGATGATAAACCAGGGTCACATTGGGTAGCTTTATATATCGATACGAATGACGTCGGTCAATATTTTGATTCATATGGACGATCACCTGTACGATATCATCTAGAGTTTTTAAAAAGGAATTGTAAAAGATGGAACTGGAATGTTGATAGGATTCAGAATGAGTGGACTTCAGTTTGTGGCGAATATTGCTTAATGTATTTACTATATAAGTTTCAAGGATGTTCAATACATAGTTTTACGAGTATATTTACAAGGAACACATTGTACAACGATATTTTAGTGGATGAGATGTTTCGCTCCTATTTTATAGATAATAATTAATAAGATTTTGTATTTTATAAATAAA